ATAGATAGATAGATAGATAGATAGATAGATAGATAGATAGATAGATAAAAGATGATATAGACAGAAATGGTAGATAGGTAGACAGACAGTCAGGAAACTCTGGGAATTTAAGTTCACAAGGTTGAAGAATCACCAGGGTGAGAAATGGTGCACTGCTGTTTTGGCCAGCGGCTTTGCTTCCTTCCTGCCCCTCCGCAACAACCACCCTGCAAGGTAGGATGATGGTTGGAAGACCACGAGTGGCCCAAGAGATTTCCTTCCCTTCCAGATGTCCAGCAGACATTGATTGGCTCCTGTCAGCCTGAGGACGTGGCTGTGCGCGTCTGGACGCGAGTGATCGGTCACTACCCAGACCGCAACCAGTTGTTGGTGGACTGCGGATGGACCGGACTGAGCCTCCACAGCCTGGGTCAGCTGCCCACCGGCTTTGCCCTGGTGGACGGGCACCCAGACCTCAAGTAAGGGAGCTATAATTCTCGGGCACCTGGTCCTTCCTTCCCGTCTGTCCCTGCTTTGCGCCTGAGTCGTTCATCTTATCAAGATATCTCTCCTTCAGTCTCTTTATCCATCCCTGTCCCAGATCCGTCTCTCTGTCTGTCTGTCTACAGGTAGTCCTCGGTTTATGACCACAATTGAGCTCAAAATTCCTGTTGCTAAACGAGACAGTGGTTCTGTGAGTTTAGTTCTGTTTTAATGACCGTCGTAAATATGAACCAGTTGTCAAGCAGCTGAAATTTGAACAGGTAGTCATGGGGATATGCTGCAACGATCGTGAGTGTGAAAACTGGTCAAAAGTCCCTTTTTTCAGTGCCATTACAACTTTGAACAGTCACTAAGTGAATGGCTGTAAGTCGAAGAATACCTGTATTCAGTTACCTGCTGTGACATTTATCGATCTTTTTGTCATTGTGACTTTCTTCATTTATCTGTTATCTATCATTTATCTATATTTTCTGTCATTTTTACCATTTATTAGCATTTCTCTATTATTTATATCACATCTATCTCTTCATTTATTTATTTATCTATCTAAATCTATTTATTATCTATTATGTATCTAATTTTCTATCTTTCATTTATTATATATTAACAATCTATCCGTCCGTCCGTCTGTCTATTGCAACAAGTATTTATAGGCTTTCCTTCTGGGCTCCTGTGCAAAAACTGTGCGCACGCTTGCACGCTTGCGTGCCAGCACCCAGAAGGCAATGCCCCCCCCCACGCCTCCTATGCATGTGCACGCAACCCCCACCCACCCAGCCCCTGCTGCCCCCTTACCTGCACTGAGCTTCACACATGATTTTTGGCCGGTTTGAGGCCTTTTTCGGCCTCCCAAAGGCTTCGGGAAGGCTTGTGCAGGCTTTGCAGGCCAAAAACTAGGCCCATTCCATCAGTTCTGGTATTTCCGGAAAAACAGGAAGTGACAAAACAGGCCTAGTTTTTGGCCTGAAAAGCTTGCAGAAGCCTACCTGAAGCCTCTGGGAGGCTGAAAAAGGCTTCAAACTGGGCCAAAATCAGCTGTGAGGTGCATGCATGTGCAGTGAGGCAAGTCTGCTTGCAGCTCACGTGCCGGCACAAATAGTTCTGCATGCCACCTGTGGCACGCGTGCCATAGATTCGCCATCACGGCCATATTGCATGCATAATGAAAAATATAATACGTTAGGGAAAAAAATCAATATATAAATGACCTTCATAAACATAAACCTTTAACTCAGGGCCAAGGGCTCCCTGGAGCAGAGAGGGGGCCCCTTCATTTCTTTCCCCAAAGCCAGCTGGACTTCCACAGGTCGCTCTCCCCGCGACCCACTCCCGCTTCCTCAAGGCTTACCCTAAAGGACGGCAGCCTGTCGAGTGGCTCCCCCTTTCGCTATTATTTTCCAGCAAGGACAATCCGGAATGATACAGATAGTCCTCAGCCTACGACCACAATGGAGGCCAACATTTCCATTGCTAAGCGAAACATTCGTTAAGTGAGCTTTGCCCCATTTTATGACATGCCACAGTTATTAAGGGAATCCCTGGAGTAGTTCGGTTAGGAATACAGTTGTTAAGCGAATCTGGCTTCCCCCATTGACTTTGCTGGTCACCAAATGTGATCACGTGACTCCGGGACACTGCAACCGTCGTAAATATGAGTCAGCTGCCAAGCGCCTGAATTTTGATCACGGGTCCAGGGGGGATGCCGCAACAGTTGTTAGCGTGCGGTTGTAACTTCAAATGGTCACTAAATGAACGGTTGTAAGTCGAAGACTACCTGCACAGTCTCCTACCTTGGGCAGGGGGTTGGACTAGATGACCTCTGAGGTCCCTTCCAACACCAGAACTCTGTGAAAGGGCACAGTCTTCAAAAGGAGACATTTGCAAAGCGAAAATCCTATCCATGAGGAGACAAGGCTTCTGACCTTCCTTTGCAGATTGGTGGGGATGACCCAGGAGCACGGAAGAATCGAACCCATGACCGGGGAGCTGGATTTTGCCAAGTACCCTCTGGGCAGCCTCCTGGCTCTGATTCCTTATCACGTAAGTCTGGCTTGGACCTAGAAACGGACATCCCCGTCCTTGCTGGTTTCCTGTTGGTCTAACTGCTCCCGAAGTTGCATTCACACAATCTATTTAACCTGGATTCTGAATCATCTATTTTTTTTCCCCTCTGCACAATGCCCAGAACCCTAAATTAACCAACCTGGCAGGAATGTCCCATGACATTCGGCCACAAAAGCACCCTAAACCAGGTTAATCGCAAGCAGGTTCTCCCCCCCACCCAACCCCAGGTTGTGTGAATGCATTCTCTGGGCTTTTTTAAAATTTTCTTGACCCTTCCGGGGGAAGAGTGCTTGCCAACAGAACTAGCCATGTTTCTGAATGTCTCATTTTTCTCTCTCTTTGTCTTTGCAACTGGGGGGGGGTTGTTTGCTCTGCCCAAACGACAGGCGTGTGCCACGGCCGCGATGCACCCCGTCTTCTTTGTCCATAGCGGCGGTTGTGTGGTGGAGACGTGGAGGCCGGTGCGAGGCTGGTAGAAAGACAGGATGAAGAAAATGCGCAGATCTTGGCCTGTGGAAGCCTTCGAGGGTCTTCAGGTGATGCATTCCCACAATCGTTTGGACTTTCCGCTGGTGCGGGAATGTCCGGTTTCAACTTCCCAAGGTCTGAATTGGTGACTTAGCTGTATGTAAAGTCCACTCTGGGTCAAGCCCTGGTTGCTGAACCGTCCAACTCCTATCAAGCCACGAATGGTGGCTTATACAGGCATGACCAACTTAAGTCGGTGAAACTATTCTGTTTGTGAAAAGAAAGATCCACCTGACCAGCAGAGGTTGTCCTTGACATACGCCCATTGCTAAATTAAGTGAGTTTTGCCCCATTTTACAACTTCTCTTGCCACCTCCGTTGTTAAGTTAGTCACATGGTTGTTAAGTCAATCTGGCTTTCCAGTTGACTTTGTTTGTCAGAAGGTCGCAAAACGGGATCACCTGACCTCCTCCCCCCCATGGGACACTGCAACCGTCATAAGTATGAACCAGTTGCCAATTGTCTGCGGCAGTAGTTAAGTGTGGAAAATGGTCATACGTCACCTTTTTCACTGCTGTTGTGACTTCCAACGGTCACTAAATGAATGATTGTAAGTCGATGTATCAGTGGCGTTCCTGTTGTTTTTTAGAAATGCGTACAAAGCCTTCGAGGAAGGAGGAAGGACCCCTTTCCTCATCAGGCACAGGATTAGGGGTAGAGTAGTCCATCCCTGAGATGTAGACTAGATAGATGGGCCCAGGCCTGATCCCACGGGGTCTAAACCTGGTTTAAAGAATTTGCAGTTTTCAAAAACATCTAACAGGCATTCATCTTGCGGGTGTCACATGGAGACACACCCTGCAAATTGGAAATGAAGGCAGCCTTCCCTAGTGGGAAGGGGGAAAGCTGAAGGGGCGGAGCTTCAGCCACGAGGCCGCGCCCACCCTCTCACAGATTTGATACCCCTCCGAGGATTTCCCGCCCCCCGTTGATGCCGCTGTGACCCCCATATTCAGATTTTGCCCCCAAAGCTGAAGGCAATCTCTAAGGACATTGATCCGTTTTGATTCCCAGAAGCCCACTCCTCTTAAAGCCTGCAGGCTGGGGGATTCTGGGAGTTGAAGTCCATCCATCCCTCTTAGAGCATCTTAACATTTCTGACGTTGAGAAACGCTCTGGCTTGTCCTACACCCCAATTTTGTATTTTTCTGAGGCACAGAATCAAAATTAGTGTTGCAATTTTTTTATATTCAATTCCCGATATGCCGTTGGTCCTTCCGTGCTAACCCCGGTTCCTAGGAAGAATCCATGAGGGAAGCAACTTTGGAACTAAGGAGAAATTTCCTCACAGCCAGAACAATTAACCAGTGGAACAACTTGCCTCCAGAAGTTGTGGATGCCCCAACACTGGAGGCTTTTAAAAGAAGAGACTGGACAGTCGTTTGTCCCAGGTGGAATAAGGACTCTTGCTTGAGCGACAGGTTGGACTAGATGACCGCCCGGGTTCCTTCTAACTCTGTTATTCTGCTATAAGCAGGATCCCTTGCATTCTGCTATAAGCAGGATCTCCCCCGTGCCTGTTCACTGCAAAAGCCACCCAGTCCGTTAGTCCACATTAAGGAAGAAGGAAGCCGAGGGATGAATCGATTCTTGACGCCCGCTGCCATCGCAGGACTTCAAAAGAGGACGTCATAAAATTCAGGGGGCTTTTCGGTGGGGGGAGGAAACAATGGCACCTTCCTCCCACCTTCTCTGATCTCCCCCAGCGACCCCTTTGAAGTGGCCCATTGTCGTCCTTCTTTGCATCCTGCAGAGAAAAAACACACAACCCTGCCAATTGTCAAATTGGGCAGGTACAAACTTCCAGGCCAGAGAGGCTAGCTGTAAAGAGCCTTGTAAATTGTCGACAATAAATTGCAAATTCCTCTTTTTCTTTTTTTAAATCTCCCAAGGCATTCTTGTTTGGGATCGATTCCTTTATTTCTGGAATTAATATTATTTTACTCAACGTTTCTACAACCCGTCTCCCCTCAGAAGGTGACCCGGGGCGCCTGACAGATGATAAAAAGACAAACAACTCAAGTTATTAAAATCACACAAATTAACATTTTGAGACTGCTTTTTTAAAGCAATGCCGCTGTTTTGCGATTTGGGGAATAGCCGTTCTGCCTTTTCGTTTCCTTTCTTGCAAAGTTGCAAGTTCAAGCATGCCGTTTTCTGTTTCTTCTTCCCTTGTGGTGCTTTATTTGATGAGACTTTTATTTTGTGGCATTTTATGATTATATTTTTTTATACGGAATCGGTTCGGGCACTTTCCAGCAGGCAAAATGATGATGAAGAAGATAATGATAACATAAGGCAATTAGATAACAGGAGGCAAGGCCTGGGGACAGGCTGTGAGAGATAGCTGATCTTGGAAGGTGGAAGCGCCAGTCAGAAGCTGACCTGTTTTGTGGTGAGATGGGAGACCACCAGGAGATCTGAGTATGACATTCCCGATTTCAAAACAGAAATAAAAATTATCCCCAAAAGGAATGATAAACCATTTATGTGTACATAAAGTTCCCAAAGTTGAAAAAAAAACTAGTACAAAACTGGATACCCCATTGCAATGGGGTATGAGACCACATTTGGGACCAGTAGTTATGACCATTTTTCAGACTTACGACCATCGCAGCCTCCCCATGATCATGTGATCAAAATCCAGAGGCTTGGCAAATGACTCAATGTATGACAATGTCACATGTTTCCCTTTTGCGACCTTTTTGACAAGTAAAATCAACGAGGAAGCCAGATTCCATTTAATGACCATGTCACTCGGCAACTGCAGGGATTCACTTAGCAGCTGCGGCAGGGCAGGTTGTAAATCGGAGCAAAATTCACTTAACAACCGTCTCACTTAGCAAAAGAAATTTTGGGTTCCCTTTCCTCCCATTTTATTCCATTACATAAACGTGGACACAGGGATAGTAACATTTAGAAAAACGTGATTTGTGACTGGTCTTGGCTCCATTGTGGACATAAGTCAAGCACTGGCGATACGTCTTTAGTGTCTCAGATCAAAGCTTCAGCAAGCAAAGGTTGATGTTAACAAAATAAAATAAAAACAGTTTTACAACAAAGTGTGTCCAATTTTTATTTTTTCTTAGCCATGGCTTCTTCCCATATTATTCCACTACACAAATTGGGACAGGCTAGGAAAAAAATGATTTACTGTCTGCCGTAAATTGATTTAAATCTGTGTTGCAGTCTTTCCTGTGGTCATTCGATTGCAATTCAGGCATTTAGCAAGGAGGATTTATTTAAAACGCTTTCACCATACATGATTTCATATACTTTATGCATTCAGAAGGAATGTGGTAGCTTTTTTCCCCCAGCTAATGATTTTATGAAAAGGCATGAAATTTTGTAAAGTCATAATTGATGCATCCAAAAGGAATGTCGTAGCTCTTTTTCTATGGCAATTTTATATAAAGGCACCAGGTTTTCTAAGGTACAGCTTGCTAGCCCAAAAAATAAATCAATCGGCAATTTGATAATAAAACTTATCAATTTCTCATTTTGCTTTTAATTTTTAAAGCGGGAGCTTTTATGACATTTTCTCTTCCTCCGTCTTTAAGGAAGAATATCTCTGGCTAGCCCCCTCCCCTATTCCCTACCCCCCCCCTTTGTCTCCTGCAAGAGACCGGAAATACATCTCCTGGAATTTGGGGAGGGGGTAGCAGGGTCCGAAGATTGCAGAGATCAAAGGAGGGGAAAGAAAGGCCTCTGGGTCAATTCTCAAAGCCCCCCTGCGTGGAGGAACCGGGACAAGTTTATGTCCTGCACTTCAGGGTCTCAGCCATAACCCAAATAGCTGAAGGGGGGGAGACCCCTCCTCCCTGGCTTTAATTGTGGAGGCTGGACTGCCCAGTCGGGAGCAATTTTGGATTCAGGGATTCTGGCCGCAACTGAGAGCAGAATTCAGAATTTGGTTAAGCCCCCTACCCGAGTCACTAAAAGCGATCGGGCGTCCGTGTAAATTCTCTAATTAAATGGGCTGAATAATATTCCCTAAATAATAATAACTATGCTCGTTTTGGTTTTTAAGAAGAGATTGGCACAAACGTATTGTCTGAAATGCTATAGGGGCTCTGCCTGAGCAAGGGGGTTGGACTAGAAGACCTCAAAGGCCCCTTCCAGCTCTGTTTTATAGAATTTATATTCTATAATTACAGAAGTATAATTATAAACTATAGAATTTATATTCTATAATTACAGAACTATAATTAGAGAATTTACATTCTATAATTTAATTATAGAATTATAATTATATAAGTCTATACATATTTTATATGAAAGAAATGCTCTAATTATTCTCTAAATAAATGAACTTGAGTGAATTAATAAAATGAAATAAAATACAGGTAACCCTCAACTTACAACCGTTTGTTTAATGATCATTCAAAGTTACAATGGTAGTAAAAAAAAAGGGACTTGCTACCATTTTTCACACTTATGACCATTGTAGCATCCCCGGGGTCACCTGATCAAAATTGGATGCTTGGCAACTGTCTCATATTTATGACGGTTTGAAATGTCCCATGGGTCACCTGAACCCCTTTTGAGGCCAACTGCAGAGCAAAGTCAATGGGGAAGTCAGACTCATGTAACGACCGGGTAACTTAATTCAACAACTGCAGGGTTTCACGTAACAATTGTGCCAAGAAAGGTCATAAAATGGGACAAAACTCCCCTAATAACTGTCTCACTTAGCAACGGAAATGTTGGGCTCCATTGTGGTCATACATTGAGGACTACTACCTGTAACAAAATAATAAACAATAGAAAATAAACAAAATTAAATTAAAATAATAAAACATTTAGATCGGTAAACAAGGTGATTGTTAAGTGACTCACATCCAATTTTATGAGCTTTTTTTGCCCACTGTTGTTAACTAAATCACTCGTTGTTAAGTGAATCAGGCAGTTGTTAAGCAAATCCGGCTGCCCCCATTGACTTTGCTTGTGGGAAAGCTGCAGATGGTGTGACGATTGTGTTACTCACTGTACAACCGCAGTGATTTGCTTAACAATGGTGGCAAGAGACGTTGTAAAACGGGGCAAAACTCACTTAACAACTGTCCCCACTTGGCAGCAGAAATTTCGGGCTCCGTCGTAAGACGAGGACTACCTGTACAGGAGTCTGGCTCACCAGATTCCTAATGTGTCAGTGCGTCTGCGTGTGTGTCTTTGTGTGTGTGTATTGCATGTGCGTCGCAAACGCCCCCCCCAATACACACACACCCAGCGACTCTTTCGCCTCTTTGTCTCTCCTCCCCCCCCCCTCTGCCGGGGCGGGCGGGGGGCTGGGGGGGGGGGGCGGGGGGCGAGGGCAAGGCGCGGGGGGGGGGGGGAGAAGGAGGGGGTGAGGAGGGCGTGTGAACGGGGCCGGCCCCACAGTCCCGGCAAAGGCAGAGCCCGCAGCAGAGACCCCGCAAACCGCCCAGCCCGGCCCGGAGGGGAAGCGGCCGGCGAATCCCGAGCAAAGCCGCGCAACTACCGACTAACTCCGGCAACTTCAAAGGCGCCGCTTCCCTCGGCTGGAAAATTGGGGAAGGGTCGCTTTCTTTCCCTTTCCTTTTTTTTGTTCCTTGCTAGCCGGGCGGGAGTTGGGAGGGCGACGACACGCATCTGCGGGTCTGCTGCGACCCCGGCCGGGAATCTGCCTGCCTGCCCGCCTCTCCCTCTCCCCCACCCGCGATCTTCCGAGGAGTGGTCAGACAAGAGGGTCTCCGTCGCCCCCCGCCCGGCCGGGATAAACGCCCCGCTCCCCTCCTTCCTCCGGATCGTCCCCGACGAGATGAAACTGACCGGGAGCTTCGTCCTGGCGCTGCAGCTGCTGGCTGCCAAGGTGGGTCGCTCCGGGGGTCGCTTGGAGGGAGGGATGGAGACCACCCCCCATTATTCCAAGCATGGGGTAGGTCCCTCGTTAAGGTGGTGCGTGCAAAAAGGAGGTCCAGGGGTCGGAGAAGGGCGGCTGGAGGTTTCCTTGGGAGTAAGGAGGACCCTTCAGGTATCCCCCTCCCCAAGAGGAAAACCCCCCTTTCCTCTCGGGGAGGGGGATTGGGGGGGAGGTCTGGCTTTTTGGGGGGGAGGACGGGAGAGTTTGGGTCTCTTCGCAAACTGGCTGCAAGTTGTGGGCCTTGGGAGGGGGTCTCTCTGTCCCACCAAGGCCCCATTCACACGACCCGCTCAAGCCGCGTCCTGAGTGCGCCCCCTTTTCTGGGCTACGGAGGGTTAGGGTCGCTCCACACGCGCCGGGCAGGACCGAGCAAACGCCGGGACGGGAGAAGGCTGGCTCTGCGAAGCAGGAGTAAGCGAGGCGGGGCGGGTGGGGGGCGACGGGAGCGTTTTCAAGCCCATCTGCTTCAAACTCGCTTTCAGTCTGTTTGGGGGATAGGAAGGGAGGGGGGAAAGAGAAGGAGAAATAGGAGGACAGGAAGGAAAGGGGGAAAAAAGGAGGGAGGGGGAAGAAAAAAAGAAGGAAAAGGAAGGAGAAGAAGTGAGGGAGAAAAGAGGAAGGAGGGAAAAGGGAAGGAAGGAAAGAGGAGGAGGAATAGGAGGAGGAGGAGTAGTAAAAAGTTACGAAAGAGGGAGGGCAGGAGAGGAGGATGGGACCCTTAGAAGGGGAATACTTTGGGGAGGGAAGGCTGCATATTCCTGAGTCTCCTTGGAGCGTCTCCTCCAGTCCTCTCCTGGTTTCCATTGGGACTCAGTTTGCCAGTCTGTGAAATGGGAAGAGCTCCTTTTCCCAAGGAGCCCTGAGAGGCTGAATTTGCACATCAGGGGTTTTCCCAAACGGTTGCAATCACCTTCGAAGCTCCCTTTAAATTTAAATTGGTTTGGGATTCCCTGGCAGCGTTTGGCCCCATGTTAGTCAGGTCTCAGCGTTCACAAAACTCTGTCATTTTAGGGGTTTCATTTCAGCTCAGTTTAAAGTTGAGATCTACTGCAAAAAGAAAAGAAAAAAAATACAGGAAAATAGAGATTCAACCCAAGTTTGGTTTTGCATTCACACAACATCCTTAACCCAATGGATGGATTATAAATGCTTGCTTGATTCACACAGTACCTTGAATTGGGGGGAGTGGACTTCCCCCACAGAGCCAACTACTCCCCCTCTGGGCCCTATATTGTGTTAACCTGAACCCAGTAATGTGTGAATGCTTCGACTTTTACCTTCATGTGATTTTCAATGTCATGTGACAGCAACAAGTGGATTTGTTTGCCCTTACAACAAATGGATCACAAGGAAGGTGGGCATTTGAGAACCCATCTCTGGCGTGTTCGTTCCGTTTGCATAAATATTTAAATGGCATTATAAATGCATTTTTATTATTTATTTATGAAGACAATATATATGGGCCGCACAACATTCACGGTGACTCTCTGGGCTGCGTACAAAAATGTAACCCCAATCCAAAATCAAAATCCAAATAGAAAAATAAAACCCCAATACAGAAATAAAACCTCATTCCAAAAATAAAATCCATATAGGAAAATTAAACCTCATTTCAAAAAATAAAACCCCAACGCAAAAATAAATTTCCAATGCAAAGATGATTAGCAGTAACACTACAATACCAGTAACACTACAATACCAATGGTGCTTTGTAGCACCATTCAGAATCAACTTTGGCTCTTGAAGGACTTTTTCTCTTAAAAACTGAACCAAAACAAAGAGGAATGAATATCTAGGCTGAAAGGAGAAAAGAGAGGCACCATAAACTTAATTTTTTTAATTTTTTTTTTAAATGGGGGAAGCATCAGTTTGCATGCACAGTTAAATAAAATTCTTGAGACAAAGGAAATGGCGTGTCATTTTGACAAAGCTGAGCTGCTAAGGGCTTGCAATTTAAATATCATGTGTAAATAGATACAGAGACCAGTTAAAAAGACAGGAATTGCAAAGAATTTAAAAAGTGACTTGCAAGAATTTTGGCCTAATGCAAAACATATTGTTAAGCAGCTCAAAATATCTATTGTTCTCTTCCCATTAATTCCCACCCAGCTTTCCTTTCTAGCTCAGCCAATGGAAAATCATGAAAAAAAGAGGATTAAAGTTCCCATTGATGCTGGAAATGGAGATTGTAATATTTTATCTAAGAACTATTTTTCTAATCTCGAGACAACATAGAGCTTAAAAGAGTCTGGTTGATGTACAACTACAGTAATTAAAACTCTTTGGAAACTTTCCATGCACAGATAGCCTTCCATTGGCCACAACTGAACCTAAAATTTCTGTTGCTAAGCAAAACCAATTCCATTTTACAACTTTTCTTGCCTCAGTTGTTAAGTGAATCACTGCCGTTGTTAAGTTAGCCACACGGTCATTAAGTGAATCCGGCTTCCCCATTGACTTCGCTTGTCAGAAGGTCGCAAAAGGGGATCATGTGACCCCAGGAACACTGTGACTGTCATAAATATGAGACAGTTTGCAAGAATGCAAATTTTGATCATGTGATTATGGGGACTCTGCAACAGTCGCTAAGTGTGAAAAACGGTCATAAGTCCCTTTTTCCAATGCTGTTGTAACTTCAAACGGTGTGCTAAATGAACTTTTTAAAGTCGAGGACGTCCTGCACTGTGAAATTGTGGAATTAAGGATGAACCAGAAAATACCACCCAAAGTATTGTTTTATTTTGTTTTCTGTTTGGGTTTGTGCTATGACAGCAATAATTATTATATTTTTTTTGCAACTGGAAAAAGCTGTTGCGGTTTTTTAAAAAATAGGAGGATTAAATATTAATGTTAATAGCACAGATTTGTTTTTTGGAGACTGGCTAAATATATTAATTTTTTCTCCAAAATTTTGCAAATTTTTCCTTAAAGGAATATTTGGGGGGGGGG